CCCAGCGACGACACCAAGGGCTTCTTCGACCCCAACACCCACGAGAACCTGACGTACCTGCAGCTGCTGCGCCGCTGCGTGCCCGACCCCGACACCGGCCTTTATTTCCTTAATATTGCTCGAAAATAATTGTAAAACCTTTTGATTTTTTTTCTTTTTTTTCTTCTTTTTTTTTGCCTTTTGGAAGTATGTCACTATTGTGAATAATTCTTTTGCTGCTGGTGTTTGTCTTTCTTTTTCTAAATATTTTTTTGCCATTTATGATCCCGGTGGGGGAATTTCCTCCATGACTTCTTTTCTTTTTCACCTCCCACCCACCTCAGGTGCAGCTCTGAAGTGCCTCGCCCCGAGCAGTGTTGTTGCATTGCATTGTTCCCGTTTCTTTGCTCCCCTTTCAGGAGCAGAGGAGGCAGCCTGGGTTATCTCAGGTCATTCTGCCGAATCGTGTCATCCCCATTTTCCACACCCATTTTTAAGTGCAGGTCTTTGTTCCCTACGGTTGTTGCTGGGAGCTGTATTTTTATTCTCTGTCTCTTTTCTGGCATCCGCCAGCTCTTTTCCCCAGAGGCTTTGCAGGATGGAATTCAGGTTTCCAAGGCAGTGGAGAGCAGATTTCCACGTGGGCTGGGTGCCAGGCTGGGTTTGGGTGTCACTGGTGTGGGACACGCCACCTGTGCTTGCTCTCCGTGCCCCAGCCCGTCCTGCTTTTCCAAGGAATTCTGCAGCTCAAACGGCCCCAGCCCAGCGTGGTTTGGGTCTCCCTGTGCTTTCCCTCCCTCCACGGAGCCTCTGTGGGGATGGATCCTCCCAGGGCTGGGGGTGGTCTGGGTTCTGCTGTCCTTTCAGTCTGTCCATCCTCAGTGCAGCCCCTGCTCCCTCCCGTGTCCCGAGCTGACCCAGCCCCGCGGCCGAGCAGCTCAGGGATGAATAATTCTACTGCTGCTTAATGGAGGGAACCTTACCCCCCTTAATTGTGGTGCCTTGGGCTGTTTGCCTTAATTAACCCGCTAATGGCCTGGAAAATGGACTTTTGGCCGCAGCTGATCCCTGGGAGCAGGTGGAGAGGAGCTGTGGGAATCCTCAGCGTGAGCAGCCCTGGAGCCCAGAGAATGGCCCGGGCTCGGAAAGGGATGGAGAAACGAATGGGAGAGAGGTCACGGAGTCAGGGAATGGTTTGGAATGGTTTGGGCGGGAAGGTCCCACCCCCTCCATGGGCAGGGACACCTTCCCCTGTCCCAGGTGATCCAAGCCCCGATGTCCAACCTGGCCTGGGGCACTGCCAGGGACCAGGGGCGGCGCCAGGGCCTGCCCGCCCTCCCAGGGAACAATTCCTTCAATGTCTCATCTACACCTTCCAGTTTGGAGCCATTCCCCCTTGTCCTGCCACTCCTTTGTCCCAAGCCCCTCTCCAGCTCCCTCATAGCCCCATTTAGCAACTGGAAAGCCACAACAGCATCTCCCAGGACCCTTCCTGGAAATCCAATTCTCCCCTGCACAGGGGAAAACAGGAGAAGCTGGCGTGGGGTCACCGGGCTGTGACACAGTTTGGGACAATCCCCCAGGGGTCACTGGGCTGTGTCACAGTTTGGGACAATCCCCCAGGGGTCCCTGGGCTGTGTCACAGTTTGGGACAATCCCCCAGGGGTCACTGGGCTGTGTCACAGTTTGGGACAATCCCAGGGGTCACTGGGCTGTGTCACAGTTTGGGACAATCCCCAGGGGTCACTGCTCTGTGTCACAGTTTGGGACACTCCCAGGGGTCACTGGGCTGTGACACAGTTTGGGACAATCCCCCAGGGGTCACTGGGCTGTGTCACAGTTTGGGACAATCCCCCAGGAGTCACTGGGCTGTGTCACAGTTGGGGACAATCCCCCAGGAGTCACTGGGCTGTGTCACAGTTTGGGACAATCCCCAGGGGTCCCTGGGCTGTGTCACAGTTTGGGACAATCCCCCAGGGGTCACTGCTCTGTGTCACAGTTTGGGACAATCCCCCAGGGGTCCCTGGGCTGTGACACAGTTTGGGACACTCCTCAGGGGTCACTGGGCTGTGTCACAGTTGGGGACAATCCCAGGGGTCACTGGGCTGTGTCACAGTTTGGGACAATCCCCCAGGGGTCCCTGGGCTGTGTCACAGTTTGGGACAATCCCCAGGGGTCACTGGGCTGTGACACAGTTTGGGACAATCCCCCAGGGGTCACTGGGC